TCTGGATCGCAGCAAGTGTCGTCGGGGGGGCTGCCCCGACGCTCTCAAAGCGGGCGTACGCCACGACCGACGCCGCGTCGATGCCCGCGATGCGGACGCTCACGGACGCGCCGCAGTTGCGGTATGAGCTGTGCGGGCAGCAGACGGGGCTGCAGTGTGGAAAGCATCTACGGGCGTCTGTGAGCATGCAGCCGTTGCCACTGGCGTCGCTGTGTACCGGAGCACCTACGCGCATCGTGGGACGACGGATGGATGACCAGTCGTGGTACCTTGAGACCATGCGCGTGGTGGCAGCTGCGGGGCACGGCATGAAGACCTCCTCAAGCACTCAGGGTCGTCGTACCGGAGGTAGGTCGACTCGAAGACGTCTGCGCGGTCGCAGTCCCGCCGGAAGTACGCAAGTCGCATGCGCGTTTTCAGAAATGTCTCTTGTGCTCAGCAATCAATTTGTATGCTGCCCAATCGAAGCCCACCTTTACGATGTATGGTGCATCTCGACAGAAATTACGGATCATATTGTCTGTCAACCCGTGGACGAGAGACTGTCACGTCTTTAGTCAATCGTAGCACTCTGAGAGCCGCATGCTGCCGCGCAAACGCGTCGGTCTTCATACCAAGAGTTTTCGGCTCCGTTATCCTCGGACATCTCAACCTGTGCGTGCATCTCTTATGGCAACGTCTCTGCGGCGATGTCATGCCAACGTCCGATTCAATCGAGGCCGCAACCCTCGTCTGGGTGAATACGATTCATGTTGGTGGATGGCGCTATCGTGTCGTGAAGCATTTGTTCCATCGCACCATTATCCTTGAACGGGACAAGACCAGCGTCACAGCGGCGAGGACGTAAGTTCCATGTCCTAGGTTCCATCAATCGTCCAAGAATATATAGCAAAACGCATGACAACAAAGAAGCATCACAGTCGCATCAAGTGTCGCCTTCGGGAGTGGCAAAAGGCCCGTCGTATCTCGGCGAAAATCCACCAACGAGTGCAGGGCAATTCAATCAGAGCGTCGCTCTCGTATGGGTTGTAAGTTGAAATGCCCTCGATTTTTCCTGTGATACGGCTTTTTCGAGACCCCGGAAAGGCTGTATAGCACGTTTTGTGGGGGTTGGAAGGAGTAAATAGAGCCGACACGACGTCTAATTAGAACCCATCAAAAGACAACGCTCGAATTGAGTTCCTCACGAGTGTTTGGTCACACCTGCGCGACAGAGTGCCGTTGTGGGTGCCTCGACTAGCTATGGAAGTGCTCTGCGTGGCGCTTCCTCGATCGCTGGTCTAGTGCTCGACGCCTCCGTGATATATCGGCCGGTCCGCAGACCGCGCTTTAGTTGTTGATTCATCGCACCGCCAAGGGTCCATCTCTGAAATGATATCTGAGAGTAGAACTTCGTCTATCTTCGACTGTTGCCTTGAGGTTTCGGTGCACTTGCAGAACGCAACTTTTATTGGCTACCTAGCAAGGATCGCAACGAGTCGGAGGTTCCATTCGCTCGAGCGTTTTGTTGTAAGCCGCACGGTACGAATTCGCGGGGTATTTAAACCGTCCAACACCCCCATTTGTTGCATTCAAGCGGCGACAGAGACTGCGCGTGCCACGCTGTTTGCACGACCAGGAACTACTGGTACTTGTAAGAATGCACCACATCCCGTCGTGTCTTGAGCAGCATAAGCAAACTCACACTACATTTGGCTACAACCATGCATGGAATAGAGCCATCGATCGTTGGCTGCCTCTGCTGCGCCTGCGCCGTCCGCTCATGAATTGCGTGCCAACAGTGCCATCCTCCACAAGGACTTCGAACTTCGACATATACAAATCGGCACTTGTCACGCATTTGATTGGCTACTTGGAATGATGTCCGAAAATAACCGAAACGTAATCAATACAAACCCTAAGGCAAAACCAAGAGACAGTCGTCGGTTCCAGGTCGCACCGGCTTAATCTGCGGTCGCTGGTCTGGTCGTGTGGGTCATGGCAACGATCGACGCCGTCTTCTTCCGGACCACGTGCGCCAAGCCCGACGTCTTCAACAGAGCCTACGTCCGGTAGCCATTGCCCGCCTGAGGTCAGCTGCTCATGCTTCGCCAGTAGGTGCCACCAGAACCAAGGCCTCAAGGTAACGTGCGCACGTTGCCTTCGTCGAACTCATCGCAGCGTAGGTCATCCGGTATGTGGCAGCGTGCCGACGCATCCCACTCTTCCGCCTTGTAGCTGCTTTCCGCATTGCGACCCAAGCTGCTGCCAGCACACGTACTACCGGGGCTGCGGCACGTCCGTGAGCGTTCGCGTTCTCTCGCCGCTTGAGGCCACGACCACCGTGGCGTACGCGCGTTTCCAGACGGCGAGCGCACCGATGTTTGCTGCCGGCGACACTGTCCAGCGCGCCGAGTTGGAGGCTGATCTGCGGTCCCGGGCCAACCTCACGGGCACGTGGCTCAGAGGCGCGCTAGAAATCATGGATGACGTACCCACCTCTGTCGCTCGATCGCTTTGCGACAGACGCTTGATTGTAGAACCAGCTGTGCTTTCACTTTAACGAGAAACGCAGCGAAGGCTGGCACTACGACTGGCACGGCGGCTCGAGCACCAAGAAGCGCTCCGAGCTGCACCACTTGGTCGTACGGCTTCGCTTCGACTGTACTCGATGGCCATCACCTGTGTAGGTGTACCTATTCCGCACCGATGAGGCAGGTGTGCTCGTCGTGTTGCGTGTTCTGACATCTCCGCCCTTCACGCTCTCTTCGTACCGCCGCGCGAAAAGCCAAACGAAGACCAATGGGCCGCGCTGGCCGTGCGCGGGCGGGCACAGGCGGCGCCGCCGCCGTTCGCCTCGACGCCGCTGCCCGTGGAGCTCGTCGTACTCCCGCAGTCGTCGACGCAAGAGTCAGCACTGCGTCTTCTTCGGCTCTTTACCTTTTGCGATGCGATCACGATCGACGTCCTCGCGGACGGATGGGAGGTCACGGAAGCCACGATCGTGAGCCAGTTGCACGAGCGTATCCACGGGCACCTGCGCGGGCCGTCGCCGCCGATCGTGCCGCTGCAGGGCGTCCGAGCACCACTGCACCCGCCGCCACCGGCGCTCGTCACCGTCGCCTTGCACGTGATTGCGTGGTGGTTCCACCCGTCGACGCTATCGTGGGTCGAGGCCTTCTGTGCCCGGCACCACGCGGCCGTCGTCGACAACGTCGCGCTCCACGAGGTCTACAACAAGGCCGTCGACACCCTCGCGGTCACAATTGACTCACTCCTGAGCAACTTGGATGAGAGCTTGGCGAGCTTGGCCGAGCAGCTGCCGCCGGCGCCGTCGACCTCGAGTCACGCTGTCGGCTACACGACGCTCGTCAAGGTCATGCGCGAGTCGTACATGGTAACGTACACGCATGTCGCCTTTGCTAAGGTCGCCGTAGGCGCAAGGGTTCCAGGCGCCGCAACTCACGTCGCACGGCTTCAACGGCGTTTGGGTCTGGCACGAGGCAACGCCCGACGTTCGGCGCTGGGCCCCAGCGGCACCGCCACGCCTCTTGGACGTGCACAAGGTGCTCTCGATGGTGTACGGTCTCGGCCTCTGCGTCGACGACCGAGGCTTGCATGTACGTGAAAGGATGCTGGCCATCCATTCGCCGCGGGATCGTTTATTTAATTCGATACAAAACCCAAGTGTCGATGGACATTTCGACCCGTGGCTTGGACAATTTGGACAGGTGCTGATGACGAGATGTGTGCCTCTTAGGTGCGAAGTCACGTGACCTTGTGGCCGGCTGTTTGGACGCGCTTCGAGCTCGACCAGCGCCCGCGCGTCTTCCAAGCCTTCCCGAATGGCGAGTCGACCTTGCTCGACGAGACAAGCACGCTCCATGGCGACTACGTCGCGTGGTCGTCCCGAACCGCCGCCATCTCGGACGACGATGAGCTGCATCTGCATCTGTACAGCTGGCCCGGCACCGCATCGGCCTCTGCGTACTGCTACATCATCCGGCTCGACCTACGTCTGCACTCGCCCGATCGCCTCGACGTCTGCGTGGTCGTCGATGTCGTCCCGGCGCCGTCGATCGACTTTTTCGGCTCGACGGCCGACGTGCGCATCGAGTGCCTCGAGCGAATGCCGCGTTCCCGAGTCTTGCTCCACGCCAACGTCGTCTACATCCGCCACCGCGTCGACGACGCATAAAGCTATCAACCGTACGTCTCTCTCATTTCAAATCCGATTGGAAGCAGAAGAATGTACTCTGGCCGTCCGTTTCTTGGACAATTGGACGAGTATCTTGGACGTTTCGCACGTTTGTTGAACGTTCTTGGACCAGCCGCGTCCGGGACATTGGTGCTGGTGGTGTGGAATTCGTTGCCGTTGAGATCGCCCATGCAAGATGGCTTTACGAGGTCCCAAAAACGATGAGGTCCTACCCAGTCGCGAGGAGGCCAACGTGTTGTATTGGAAGTCTATGCTGGTGGAATCCAGGACATGGGCGAGAGGCGTCGTCGATGCTTGGTTGACGTTGGTCGACGACCTCATATTTCGGAGGTCAACGAGGCGATGGGATGGGATGCATGCAACCCGCTCGGACAGATTTCGCGACCTGTGTCCGAGGTATTGTTGTTGAAGTGAGTCTATTTAGATATCATTTACACTAAACTGTTTGTATCAGTCGCTGGCGTCTCTCGAGGACCTCAACACACTGCGTAGCTTTGCCGCCGATCGCGAAGCCTGGAAGGAATCTACGGAGCTTGTCATCATGGGCCTCACCCGCGGCCACAAGCGCCCCCGGGCGACCACAGACGAGCAAGATGCGCCACCGCGCCGCCGCCTGCGCAGCCACGGCCCGGCGAACGAATGAAGAAGAAGATTGCTAGTCTCTACGTATGCAAACTCTGTGGGACAACGAAGATAACGCGAAACACGTTCATATATATATATATATAAAATGTTTGTGGAGGTGCAGCCGACTCTTCGTCGGCTTCTCCGGCTCCTCGCCCAACACGAGTGGCAGCGCCAGCACCTTGTCCTGCGGATCGCGCTCCTGCCTCCGCCTTCCTAGATCAAGTTTCTCCACCGAGTGTACACAACGAAGAAAGTCCGACAATTTTATCTGGCATAGTTTTATCTATTGTAATAGACTGCAACAACAACTGTTTATGGAGGTGGACTTTCGACTCAGAGCGTGTTGGGACTGACGGCTTAGCCGTCGCGAAGGCGAGGCGTATGGATCCTGAACGAGGTGGTCGCAAAGCCAGGCGTCGTGGCGCAAGGCGTTCATCACTTGGAAGAGCACTTGAATATTCTGCAGCAAATGTTGAAGGTGCAGCTTGGTAAAGGAATCAGCGCGAGTGGCGGCCGCTTCGGGCGTCACGACAGGCGCCTCGAAGACTCGGTCGTTTCTGAGGCAGACGGTGTGGAGCGCGCAGGCACGTAGAATCGGCCATGGCGACCGCGCGTCGTCGATAGCGTGGGGCTGTCACCAGCGGTTCAAGCAAACGCGCGTCGACGAGCGGCCGAAAGAGGGCCCAGACCACGTTGATAAATTCGCAGCGGAGCAGACGGTGGTCGTACGTCTCGGGGACGCCGCAAACGGAAGAGCCTTGGGCGTCGTCGCCAAAGAAGTAGAGCCGGGTCCGAACCGCGACGGCCCCCAGCACGACATGAGTCGGCGCACCGCGGTAGAATGTGGTCGGGCTGGCGATACGCGGCGGCGGCGGCCGCAGGGGTGTTGTAATGATCCTCGGTCTGTGTCGGCGGCGTCTATCGATGCCTGCTGATTTATGACGTGATGATCCAGGAAGTCTCGTTACAGTGGTTTGAACATAAATCCTCGTCCAGCTGCCCCAAGTACAGTTTCCTCAATCAAGGCCGAACTTTTTGGGGGCAACAACCGTGTTGGTGTTCGCCATGCCAGTGGTGGGCGAGGCGGTCCCCCTAGATATGATGCGACGCAGTTGGGTCCATCCGAGTTGTGAGGCCGTCGATTGTCTGTTCGTCGATTCGGGCGTAGTTCTTGTACATGTCCGACGACCACATGTCGAACGTCTGGATTGCAAGGTCTCGCACGCCGCCTCGAAATAAGGCTGTGGCGCCGCCGCTTCGTAGAGAGTGCGTCGAGTAGTGGCTTGGGTCTTCTTGGCATGCCGTCGCTGCTTGTTTGATCTCGCTCGACACTGCCTCGCATGACAGCGTCTCGGTCGTCGAGATGGAGCACTGCTTGGCACTTGTCGTAAAGTTGTTGGCTTGGGCGTGTTGCATGGGGGTGAGCGCTGGGACACAGCCATGCTGCGGGTGACGGGCTAATCTACAAGTGTACGCCGCGGCCAGCTTGGTCGGTCTTGGAGCCTCGGATGTGAAATTGGACCGCCTTGATGTCTTCTTGGTACTTGGCCTTGGCGTCCAGAAACTGAACGCCATTGACGTCGACTGCATAGCTTGTCGTTTTCCCGTCGACGGCTAGGTACTCGGACCTGCGCCAAAGAAGGCAGGAAGCCAAGACCGTAGAGCACCGCGCGATTTCGGGACGTTGAGGTCAAGGTCGTGTCGCATCGTTGCGAGCATGTTGAATGTGAAAGGGCCGCTTCTGTTGGCTGACTGCCCGGGTTCTGGATAGACCGCGCAGGAAGATGGCGCCGCTTGTAGAGCACCGCACTACGAAGCCCCGTGCGCACTTGAGGTACCAGCTGACGATTGCCAGCGTGCCTCGACTCGTGCCTGCGCAATGTGGAGCGCTGGACCGGTAGAAGCGATCACTTGCGAATGCACGTCGTGCTGCGTCGTTGGCGTTGGAAAGACCAGGCCCGGTGCTCGCACCAGCCACGGACCCTGACGCCAAGGTCGCGTTCACCGGAGCTGCCATCAGCAAGAGCACGCTTCAGTCAACGCTGATTGGCTCTGTGCCACCGCATACAAAGATGCAGTGGTCTCCAAGAGACGGCTGTCTTTGTCGACAAGATTGATGGAGTTCTTCCGGCAGGCGTGCACGCGGCCGCGCGTCTTCAACGAGAGCTACGTCCGGTGCGCTCTCTGGTCGAGACCAGAGCTCACTGCAGGATGCTCGTAGGTGCCATCAGAACCAAGGGCTCAAGGTACACACCATTGATACGTCGACAGCTCATGCTCGCCGCACTAGCTCGTGCGGTACACTCCTCCGTCGCTGGCGTGTCGGCTTGAGGTGTGCGTAGCTGCTTTCCGCACTGCAGCCCCGAGTGCTGCCCACACAGCGGTAGCCGCGGCTGCGGTGCACCCGTGAGCGTCCGGGTGACCACGAACGACGG